ATCAATAAAAGGTATCTAATTATGTCTTTCACCAGGAGATATGCACCAGCGGTTACTAAACATCGAATTACTTATTAATTGATATGTTTTTGTAAGCAAGTAAATGTTTTATGTAAAATATTGCTAAAATGAATTGATGTATGCCGATATGCGCACACGTGTGTGTCATGTGTGATCAGATAATTCAAAGAAAACAAGCAACAAAATACACATTTTACGTAGTTTCTTCTTGGTTTTAAATATCATTTTACATCATTGAAAAAAAAATCATAGAAATATATTTAAAAAAAATATATTCAGAGATCGATTTTCGGAGCATGAACATCGTTTTTTCCCCAGATTTTTTGGGTGCGCAAAAATATTCGAGTAGAACCTTTTTTCCCGATTTTCAGCCTCAAAAAGTACCTGCGCAAATTACACAGGTGCGCAAATTACATGGGTTTTTACGGTACTGCAATTTTTTTAGAATTTCTGTTATTTTTGTTCCCCAAGTAACTTAGGAAAGCATGTCAACTGGTTATTGACAAAGTCTCTATCATGGAAATAATGATAATTCTGTCATACATCAATTTCCAGAACATTGTGTTTGTCATGACATACCATTAGGAGCTTTGATAACTCTGACTCAAACACTACTTATCCAAAACAAATGTTCAGGTTTATTGGGTGAACAAAATTATTGAAGAAAACTGAAAGGGTTATATAGAGCATTTTGAAGACTTTTCCTTGTTCCATCCTATTGAATTATAACTGAGCTTTTACTAGGATGAAAGGACGGTTATAATTGACAACCAACTCATCTCTGTTCCGTTGGGCACATTTTAAAAGGACATGGTTCAGAAGGTTCTTTCATTTCTTATGAAAAGGATTTTATAGTTATCAAGATTTCAGTCTATTTACTACATGTAAACCCTGAGGAACATGCTGAGCCAATTAAGATGAGACAAATTGATGATAACTGTCAGATATATCTCCATCAGCACTAAGGCTTCCTCTTTTGTTCTCGATATAAAATTAATGAGAAGATACAGACAAAAATCTCATTTATATCGAGATAACTCATAGGGAAATTATCTGCCTAGAAATAAATTGATAGTAATATGATTATTCATATTAAAAAAAAAACACCAATGGCACAATTTGCTTCAAACATATTGTTATTTAGCCATGGTGTGCAGAGAGTCATTCTGGTATGGAAATAAATGTGATGAACGGGATTGTTGGCTGACAGATTAGATGTATATCCGTAATGGTTAAATCGCTAATGCTGAGGTAAAATGCTATCCCAAAACCCAGGTCATTTTATTGATAAACACATGTTTGATGGTTTTTATGAAGTTTTTGAAATTCTGTCAAAATTGATATAAGTTTTATATATTGCTGTCAAATCACTTTTTGCAAATATATCATGTATATAAGGTCTTTCCTTATTGGTAACAAATCGTTTCTGAAAATAGTGATAGAAAGTGGAATGGGTTTCTGTCATGATATCTGAATGGAAACGACAATCTTTTCAGTCACAGTGTGTGTAGAACCTGTTGGTGCATTAATGGCATTTGTCTCAAGGAAGATACACCAATTAGATGTTGATATTTCCTACAGCATATAATCAACCTAATGAGCACCCCCCCCCCCCCCCCCCCCCCCCCCCATCCCACACACACATGCCCCAACATTTAAAGGTGTGCTAAAACAACCAAGTGCTCTCATTATGTGGTAAATATGATATATGATCTAAGCTGTGCTTCTTAATTACAGGATATTCTGACACTCTATGAGTTTTCTCTCTGATTTGCAGCATTTTGAAGCATTATTGTCTTTTTTCAATGTCTTAAAAATGGAAACTGAGTATGATATTGTGAAGTCAACTGATGACATTTTAAAACATTTCAAAATTCCATCTGAAATTTAACGGACTATAAGCTAACCAGCAGCACATCAGTATAATTCTGGTAATTATGTTCTGAATGTTCTTTCCCTGGTTGCATGATACTAAAAAAAAAATAACCAGAATGCTTTATATATATTTGAATCCATAGGAACCGATCTTTAGAGGATAATAAATTGTAAGGCTACATTGTAATCCAACCTATCATATCTCCTGTGTATGTCTGTCTTTGTTATTTGATAGGAGCTACTAAAGTAAAGATACGCCTCGAGATCTGCTTTATTAATGCTTCTGTCATCATTGGAATCTGATACCTATTCCTGTACTCTTGTCTCTTGTTTAGAGGAGATGAAACGGTGATTTTAGTGTCGGTGATGTCGGTGACCAGACTAATTAGCCATTACACAGAAATTTGTATTCTGCAGGTGTCTAATTGTCAGTGATTTTTTGGGAGTATATTTGGTGCCAAATTTCCTGTCTTTTCCTGTAGATAATATATTTCTTTCAACCCACTCATTTATTCTGAGGAAAATGAAAATGAAAGTTAAAATGAAATTTCCTATTTCTCCCAAACAACAGTATATTAAGTATGTTGACTAAAATTGTGATTTGAGTGTTGTTTGTTGTTGTGTTCTAAGAAAATATGCAATCTTCAGAAGTTCATAATAGTGCTGTTATATTTTCCCAGTTGACAAGGCAGTCAGGGCCCTGTGGTTATAGAGGGTAGTAAATCACTGAATGGTTTTCAATATTCATTTGCCTTTTACTAGCTATTGTGTGGATCGAACCATTAAAAACCTGAGGCAAGTATGATATCAGTATCATTATGAACAAGTTTACACCCATACAATTTAGCACTCACACTGACACTCTGTAAAGCAAAGTACATTATTTTACATGAAAATTGCATTAATGTTCTCTAAATTGTCTGAACACCTTAGGCCATAAACAGTTAGATTTATTTAGGCTGGTGGGACTGCTAGGTTATTGGTGCCTCTGGTGTGGCCCTTTCATGGACGATGACATCTTGTCCAGGGGTCCCCTGCAGTGGTAGGCATATATCTGTCACAGGCCAGAGATTCAGGTCAGGCTGATTTGACCAGCCTAATAGTGTTTATCATTATGATAATATTTTACTGCAGTTGAATGATTTACTTGACTTAATGTATTTCCTGTGAGGTGACAAAGGTGTGATGGTACTGATAAACTAATATACATACGAGTACATTGTGTTCTGTTAAAGATGGGTTCTCTTGTGTTTTCTGTGTTTTTAAACATTATTCTATTGACATGCATGGAAAAAAAATCATTATAGCAACGGTATGAATTATAAATCAATATGAATGTATGTTGATGAGCCTCGAAGTCCCATCCCAATGGGCTTTGTAAGCTAATACGTGACTCATTGTTATCTCGTACAGTACAGCAGGTCTAGAGCTACACTTGTTAATCAAATGAGCCACATCTATAGCATATTTTCAATTTTTCAGAAAGGGCATTATTTTCATGAATATGAACTTGCTGCATCAAAAGTGATTACAAAGTATGTGTAATTCGGATACTTGGCAACCTTTTAGATTTGTTCGCTGTTTGGAAAAATCTACAGAATGAACTTACAATACACCTGCAATTTGGAAAATATTGATGTAATTATCTAAAATTCATTACCTTCAGCTGTTCTATTTAATGAACTTAATTGATTTGAGGAAAATACAGAATGTAAGGAATTTTGCTGATTTCAGATGTCGGAAATTAGTCTTCCCCCTTCCTTCTCAAAGTAAGGAGACTCGGCAAGTATATATATAGGAGCGAAATCACAACCATCCAAGGTACAATAGTTCCATGACAATCTTTGCCCTATAGAGACAATTTAAACTCTAATGCCGAAAATTTATATCATCTCTTTGACTCAAATGACTTTTTGATAAAAGTGTGCATATTTCAGTGTTTTCTTCAAAAGCTATCTGGAGAACATGGTTTATCTCGAGGGTTGCTCATGTCCTTGAAACTTTGGGTATTGACTTGGTTGTTTGACTGATCTATCAGGCAGTGTACCTCTGGCTGTGTATTGACTGTTTTGAAGAGTAGTTTTGATTCTTCATCTCCAATTGCCCCTTCTAATCTTTCTCATGTATACAAGCCAGCTTTTCTGGTTGCAGTGGATGAAAGAGTATAAGGGAAAGTTACTTGGCATAACACGCAATTTTGAATTAATTGTTCATATTTTTGGATAAAATTGATGGAAAATAGGTGTGTTAGTTGAAGTTGTTTAGATTCTTTATAATTTTGATTTTAGATAAAAAGGATGTAAAGAGATCAAAATATCAAAAATGTCCAGAGTTGAAAGGGAATCGAGAATATTTCAACCATACAGGAGTCTACAGAAAGTTGAACGTTTACATTCAGATTATAATTGAATGTTATTTCTGTCTTCTTTGTAAACCTGCCTATATCCTTGGCGGACCTAATATAACATGATTTCATAAGCAGAAAGAACATGTAATCCAAGAAAAAAAATGAAGATAAAAGAGTTATCGATGTTATATAAATAGGCCTTTAAATTTCTGCTATATCATTTCAGGAATTGGCCAAAACATACCGAAATATGATCGTGTGTGTTATAGGGTAGCTTTGGGATTAGATTCAGTTGAAGTATTATAGTCTGGATTTCTTCTGTTTGATTGATGTCACGTTGAAGAGTCACCCAAGAAAATAAAAAGTTTGCCCAAGTTTATTTAGCACTATTGATTTCCTGTTGAAGTAATCCCTTTACATGGTATGGTAATTTTGTCGACCAACCTTTAAAGATAAGTCCACGTTATTTGAAGCAGTATCAGGTTTGGCCCGTTTTGTAGGAGTCTTGCATTGAAGAAACGAGCTTGGAGGGAGACATAATAAGTGATAGGTACTTAGCATATGAATGGATGCGTCATGGCTGAGTTAACTTCTACACAGCTCTCCTCAATAGTTTCTACACTTAACTTAAATCTCAGGTAACATCCTATTGTACACCAGCGATTCTCCAATTTTCATGTTTGCCCTCGGGTCTTTGTAAACCATATGGTCACCTCTGCGGTAATTACCTGTAGCAGCGCTGGACAGACAGGTAAGATATAGGGTCTGGTGTGGAGGTGGTGTGTTTAGTGCCTAAATTGTTCATTTCCTGGTCATTTGAATGGTCAGTCTCCGGCCAAACAGTACTATTCATCACACAGGTGTAATGAAGGACTGTTGGAGTAACGTTTGGAGATATATTTACCTGTGCGTTGATCAGTGAGCTGGAACAGACGTAATATATTTATATATACTGGAGGCTCGGCATGTGTATGTGCATTACAAGTTATGCGTATCACAGAATGTGTATGTTGGTATTCTAAGGACCGTGTTGGATATTTTGTCGGGAGGATAGCTTATTAGGACCCCAATACAGGTAAGGTCAGCAGGTGACACACCAGCTTAAAATAGTCCAGATTATACTACTATAGGGACTTAATATGAAGACATTCATTCACACTCTACAAGTCTGAATGGGTGACTACAATGTACGTGGACATTTATACATACAGTCAGTCAGTCTTTCATGAACGGTCCCAATGAAATATTGTATTACATGTGGAAAATATAGTGCCTGTACGCGATATGTTTTGATAAAACGGACAGAAGTTCTGATTTGTCATTATGTATATTGTGACATATACTTCAGTTGGTCTGTGTGTGATATATGTGGGACATGATTCATAAACCATACTTAGGATACCTGAACAACAACAAAGGTGAGATTACCAGGTGTAACTACCTGGAATACTTACATGAGCCTGGTACACTACAGTTTACTAGTGTGCTGGCTACAGAGATAATGGGTGCTGATGAAGTGTTTATTTGCCTGTAACACTAGCTCTATGATAGGTTCATAACACATAAAGGCCCAGGTAGAGCTGGTGTATAATTAGTATACTTGTAATGACCGTGGGACCCAGTGTCCTACCAAGGGGGTAGGGAGAGAGTTTTGTTGTATTGGAGGGTAGGGAGGGATGACCAAAGTACTTTTCTGACTGTGGAAACTCCTGTCATACCAGACATTTGGGAAGGGACACGTACCCCATGTTCCTCTGTGACTGGAGACCTGTTCTACAACCAGGGCAGGCCAAGGGACAACCTTAGTTCCTACTTAAATGAGGGATCTTCTTTACAACCAGACGTGGGGACGGATGTAAGGATCTGTCACCATGCATGTACTACCACCTACCTCCCTGTCTGACTATGGGAGGTGTAGGGAACTTGACAGAGATTTCTGGTGGACTGCAGTATGTCTTTAACAGAGCTCCAAAGCAAAGATTAGAGGGTCGACTGGATTGTGTCTCTAACACACATACCCTTCCCTTTGTCCATTGATAATACTCCCTAGCTTTAATTCTTGCAAGGTCACTCCATGAGATTTTCCACCTGGCTGCAGCTCATTGACCCTCTGTGTAACACTTCATGGAGGAGGGTTAGGTTGTCCACACCAGTCTAACCCAACCACATGTACAACGCACCTCCCGATCTATAGCACAATTTAGCAGCCAAGAAAAAACATGTAGCCTTAATGTGTCTCATGATTGCTTCATTTCCTTGGATTTTATGTGATACCTGCTGTTGTAAGGCTGATAATTGGAATACCTTAGTGAGGTCTGTTTTATGATACACTTGCTTATACACACCCCTGTTAAGTTTTAACAAACCTATTTGTTACTTTGTGTGAATATCTAAAATAGGAAATGGGACATATTTTTGGCACAGACTTTTTCTATGTGATTTTCTACCTGACTGGATTTGAATGACCGCTGGAACATTTTTGTTACACTCCTAAAAAAGGTGGGTCCTTTTCTGACTTAAAGGGGTATATGTTTACACTTACAGAATACGGCCTATTGTACTGTGGCAGGTAAGAGGAAACATTGGTGTATTTGTAAAATTTAAAAAAAATAGTTGTTGCAAGGTCATTGCAGTAGATATTTTGCTTGGCTGTGTGTGTAGTTGAGGGGTTGAGGGTTGAGGGGGGGNATAACAGTAATACATAGTGTACCTGTGTAACTGTACATAAAACTAGACACTTGTAGAACCTGTTTTCTTACCTGTGTTTATGATGGTGTTACTCCGGTGGTCGAGGGCGGAGAGATATAAAAACTATGCTAATACATCTATATCCCTGTAATTGATACTCAGCATTTATACCTATGTGTACCTGTAGGCAAAAAATTAGGATATCGCCCTAAACAGGTTCTTACGCTCATCAAATATTCAGGGTGTTATACAGGTGTGCTGTCCAGTCATATTTGTTTACAATCGCCCGTCTTCACCTGTCCTCAGGTGAGTAAAACACATAGCCAGAGGGACAGGGGAAATCATTAAATTAATATTGTAAGTTGGATGCCAGTTAATGGCAGATGTAAATTTTATCTTGTCTGGGGCTGATTTATAGTGCTAGCCTGAGGTAAACACCAACATCCAGACCACAGATTATTGATCAATTGATCAGGAATTAAGTACACACCCAGATCTATATCAGCTATATATATATATATATATATATAAAGAAAACATTGAGAAGTCCTTGTGTTGGAATTAAATATATATATAGGTACTGGATACCGGCGAAGTTTGTGCATTATTGACATCAGATATGTTATATATATTTTAAATGACTAAGTTATGTAAATTAAAAAGGCTGTGATAGAAGACGTTACGGGACAGGATAGGATTGCTACCATTGATCATACTGCACAGATAGGGTTGTGATCAGCTTTTTATATTGTGTTTATTTACCTGTATTGACTAGATCTATAAGTGAAAGATACACATTGACGTCAATATAACCAATCATGTCGGAGTTGGAAACCAGGCCAAGCGCCGAGGTTTTATCTCGCGTGTCATCTATATCATGTTTCCCGGCTTACATTGTCCTGTTTTAGAGGATTTAATGCTGAAGCATTGTTGTAAGGTAAGCAATATACTCGCGTCATAATATTGGTGTAGTCATTTGTAAATATTCAGCATGCTTTGGTGTTCGCAGCCGGGGTCCAGAATTATCTAAAATATATCGCAGGCTTGGTTAATGTTGTTTCATACTAGATTGTGAATTCAATTTTAAATCTCATAAATTCTGTGCTCAAAGTAAAATTGACAAAGTTTGAACAGTTTTGATATATATATTCGTGACAGAAACGGCACACAGCATTATCAGGTAAGTTATGTATGCAAGGTTGTCTTAAAGTCATCGTGCTCGATATCTCCTCACTGACTTTCCCAACCATATCAAAATGTGCTCGTGTTAATGTCTCTAATGGTTGTTTGAGTAGTTGAAACAATAAAAGTTTGTTTCAAATTCATCTGTTTAAATAAAATAAAAAAATGTTTGACAGAAAACAGAAGGCAAATGCAATACTTTCCATAAAGTTGGAGACAAAGACTAAGTATTCAAATTACTAATAGACGACAATAAAAGAAATTAAGCGGTATTTGTTTGGAGCGTAAGTGCAGATAAGTCCATTTATCTGGTAATTTTACAGAAAACATGGATATGGGAATGAAAACCAACCACTTGTTTTGTACCAGAAAGTGTGCACCCCCACAGAAACTTGATGACGGGGCCATGTGATAAGGGTTAGAATTCTACGTGTGTTGGTGTAGGGTTACTTATCCTTTAGCCATCTGTCACATGCATGCAGTAGACATGTGTTGTATACACACTGCACTATCACCGTTTATATATCTTTCCAGGACGTATGTATAATAGGAGGGACCACTCCACAAACTGGCTAGTTTAGTGACAGGAGCTGTACTGTGGTCCTGTGCTGTTTTCTTCCTCAAGGGGATTTACCCAATCTTTGGTAAGTTTTCTTTGAATGTCTGCATGGCCCCATCAGCATTGACAATATTGGGTTTTCATATCATGCCAAGTTTGACAGCTTCTTTTGGGAAAATGTTACATATTGTACGTTATACCATCATGTTCCCTGAATCTATAACGTGAAACAGGTTCTCGGAGAACTTACTTTTCAAAAAATTGTATTATTTTGAACATACATTCTGATAGTATGTGCCTTACTGTACTTTAGGATTGAGCATGGCATGTCTCAACTCATTATTGCATAAAGACATTTCCAGACAGGGTATTGGTCATTTGGCATTCCTGAAGATTTGAATACTCTTCGTGGTATGCTAAAATGATCATTGTTGACCATTTACCTAGGCAGAACTGTCAGCTGTGAGACTTTCAGGCACTCAGACTTGATAAGCTAATTATCTACTATAAGGAATCTGCTTGATAATGCCAAACCATAGAAGAGTTTTGTGAGGTAGATACAGGATACATATCCTTGGTTACAGACATTGTCTGTAGGCATGCAAAATAAAACAAAAATAAAAATGGTACCAGGTCATGAAGCGATGAGCAGTAGTTGAATGATGTAGGGACTAATTTGGTGGAACAGTCAGTGACAGATGGAAGCACATCTGTCGGGAGGAGGGTGCAGGTTGGGGGAGGGGGCAGTGGTTTAGAGGGGGCGGTGGAGATAGATATGGCAAAGTTACGTGATTATCTAACATATCCCATGTACAAGTAATTTACATTGCAATTCTTCCATGAAGTACATTTATATTGTATTCTTGTCATGTTTTGTTTGCATAATGGTGTATATTATGCAACCATGCAGTATTTCTTTCTGCTGTCAGTGTTTCGCAGGAATATTGTGCATAATGTTTTTCCCAATATGTTTTCTACACATAAATTGTGGAAGGTTATTAAAAGTGTTGGAAATGATATAAGTTAGGTCTGTTGAAGAAAAGTGTAGTGACATTTATCTTTGTAAACAAGTTTTACGAGTGCTCCATGAGAACTAATGAGGGATTCATCCTACCAGATAAGTCAATGATTATTTGAAATGTCATTGAGATAAAAGAGCAGTTTTGTATGCAAATACTAGTGTAATAGTGTAATCAGTATCATGTATACAGTAATGGGGATTGCTGCGTTATACGTCAAAACTGTACAAATATCACCGTACATATCCTTCTTGTTTGAATTTTGATAAACAACTTTAAATTAAATTTTATTTTTTTATTTTTTTATGAAATTCCTTTTGCAATAGAAAATTAATTGAAAAACCAATTAAGGATGAAGTCTTTTGTATGTTAAAAACTGTCATTTTGTTTAAGAAGACATCTTTATAGGGATATTTACCGTATATACATGCAAATTAAAGCTATGATGCTGTGCTGCTGAGTACAGCTGTAGTGCAGCAGTGATATTATGCAGATCTGTGCACCGTCACCGTAATCTCCAGTGACATTTCTTCTATCTTCTATATCCTTTTGCAATTTTGTCTGGGAAAGTCTGATTCCACTTCCTGTATTTGTTAGTCAGCATTTTTGCACTGTATATATGACGATTCATGGCTTTTACAAAATGTTGATTTTTTTATGCCTTCTAAAAGTTTCAAAAAGATTGAAAACAGAGATAGAACATGTCATTTGTATAATGGTGTTTACTCTAAAGTCAGTCTCAATTAAAAAATGTTGCTTTCAACAATTTGTTTTTTACGACTATTAGTGTAGTAAATGTCTGACAATTCAAACAAAGGTTGTGGTGATTGCAGTAAGGATCGTACAACCCATATGTTTATGCCATCAGCATCAAACAGCATTTACCATAACACATTAAAGTGAACATTTGTCTCAATTCAAATACGAATATTGCAGAATGTGGCACGTTTACTATATAGTATCTAGGAGTGTGCTTTTCCCTGCGTTTGTTTGGCCAGGGATTACCTTTGCGGCTATAAGACAGATAAAGCTGTCCTTATTACAAGGGGCACCTGCCCTTATCAACCTAAAGCACACCTTCCCCCATTGGAGGATCATTATTAAGCCTGCATGTACAAATGTTTCTTCTCACATGATTCCAATTTACTGCTGAATTTTCAAGCGTTGTCAGGGAAATTGAAGACAGCAGCACATGAAGTTTGATGATAATTTCCTGCAGAGCGGTGCGTTGTCCCCTGTGTAAAGCTTGGAGTATTGAAAGTGTTAACAAATGAGCAACAATCTTATCAGTATTTAGTACATATTGTACTTCCTGTGTTACAGTGATCAGGATCAAGTACATTTCAATATGGAATCAGTGAAGTTTTTAATTGACCAATTAAAAACACATTTGGTGATTGATTAGCCTAAGGAAATGTGAGGTTTCGTTCTACATATGGGTATGAGCCTTAGGAAATGTGAGGTTTCGTTTTACATGTGGGTATGATTTTCAATGTGTACTAATTTGATTATTTAGATAAGAAGTAACAGACACATTATGGACTTGATTGGCGGATTGCTGTTATTGATTTCTCATTATTGGTCTTTTTTGTAACTTTAGAAAATGTTTTCGTAACTTTAGAAAAACATTCTACTATGATACTGCAGCATATAACTATTGAACCAAGCTAAGTTTCTAGATGTTATCCCCCATATATGTCTTTTACTGTATTTTATGATGGATAAATCATTGATTTCCTTCCCGGTTTTATAATCTTTATTGGTCATACCATTGATAATGCAAGTAAAAGTACTATAAGGTGGTTCAAAATGAGTTCCTACTAAATTTGTCAGTGGGTTCTTAGTACACATAGTGAACTGTGTATTGAGGTACATGTACTAAGATTGTACGGAGATTTAGAGTAGATCAGTAACTCTGGGATTTCCAGGTGTGTAGTAATGAATACAGAAGAAACAATACTATTTAAAAGGTATTCTGAACTAGCTGACGTCATTTAATGTATTCTTAGATCATCAACCATACAACTTGACTGCAGATATGTTACAAATCGGGACCAGAATCAAAGAAGGCATATTAAAGTGGAATTGATTTGTTATTGTAGCTGGCTGTGTGAGTGTAGACTTTGGCAGTGATCAGGTATACACAGATTGCCGGAGATTAACAACAGTTAAAATACCTTTTCCTAATTTGAGTGTCGACAAGTTTGGCACTATTTGGTATGGCAGTGGGACTGCAGTGTGGAATTGTACGACTCAGTGTGACGTCGACCAACAGTGTGACGTCGACCAACGTAAGCCAAGCAGTGTTGTCAAAATTTGTGTACACTTGAGGCATTCAATATAGATGATTATTAATCCATCCATTTTGTTTCTTTGTTGAATTATTTGGTCTGTGTCACTATGACAAGGTTCTGTAAGGACATCCCCACCCCCACCCCCCACCTATTGCCTTCTTGCCATGACACTTGAACTTCATTGAAGTTTTGTCTTCCATGAAAATAGGGAACTGTCAACAGTAACAATAACACAATGGTCCTTGTTTGTCTGCTTGACATCCTTAAATTGTCTCCATTTTTCAGACAGATATAATCTGCCTCAAACAGAAATATAATTATAAGCACAAGATGATATTCCAAAGGGCGTCACACTAAGTTTGTATTGTGGAGGCATTTCCTGTGGTACGGGACAAATAAATTGTGAGGTACTACGTAGTCTGGAGTTGTGGATTTAAATGATTACAAAATAATTATGTTATTTATATGAAATTTACGTGCCTCAAAATTGAACTTGTATGCTAATGTAAGACAGTATCGTGTAGAGATTAGGGTAAGTGAGGTCAAGTAAAACAAAGATATGCAGGTGTCGTAGCGTTGGTCAGTCTTGGCCAGGACATCTTACCCCAGCCCTCTGGGTGCCCTATCTCAGTTTACATTTTGATAACTAAGCAAACTGAGTGAGAGTGGACAACTTGTCATAGTGTCCTGGTACCTCGGCCATTGGTCAGTCTGGCGGTCAAGCTAATCAGTAGCCACCATGGTCCACTTATGGAACTTAACAGAGTCTGGTGACAAGTAAGCTACATATTTATCTTTATATACATGTATAAGTTAGGATTGGCCATACACTTAAACATTACACAAGTTTTGTTATTTTCTCAAATTGATTTTTTTTTGATCGTGTGCCCTTGTTAAAGATCTCAGGTTGGTTGTGTGGGAGTTGATCTATCAAGGAGTGGAGGGCACTGGGGAATGGTGTAGGAGTATATAGGGACATCTAGTAGATGTACAAGGTCTCGTTTGTCTGCTAGGGATCCAGGTATCACCACAAGTATGTCTGTATATATTCTGGACGTACACACTTTTTCTAGTTGGCCTGTTATAATGAGTAGGGTAGATTTGGGTGTAGCTAGATGAGCTAGTTTGTATGACATTACAGGTGCATTTAGTGAAAGGTCAGTTACACCTGTGATAGGTAAATCGTTATATTGTTCTCAGTGATTGACTGCTGTGGCTGTTTTAAAGGAAGCATGGAGGCTGAACTTACGTGGAGCCTCCATAAATCGGTCACAGGGCTGCAGTACAATGTGCTGGATTGACAGCTGGAGGGAAGAATACTGTAATTAAACATATACCTGACATATAATGGTGTACACCTACATTGTTACAGTGATCAAATTTGAAATATAATACATTACCTTTCTTTCAATCTGGAGGTTTTTTTTTAATCTGAAGACTCACAAAGTTCTTTGCATGATGTCTAAATCTGCATCGAAAATGTGTTTAAATAGATATGTAAATGGTTATTGATATAAGAACAGACAGTGCTGACGATGGTTTTGTTGTGTAGGAGGACTATAGCTAGTATAGCAGTAACATGCCTGACTTGTTTCTGTCCATTCATATAAGTATTGGTACAGCTATTAAAATTATTAGGGGGGTAATAGCTAGGTCATGGGTCACAGATCAAAGGCCATTAAAAGTATCTACCAAGTATAGGCTATGTCAATATGTTTACACCATTACAGAGTTGGTAAATATTTGGGGTCTTAGCTTGTGCCTTGTAGGTT